GTGGTGGCGGTCGTGGTGGTGGTGGTAGTGGTTGCGGTAGTGGTGGTAGTAGTAGAAGTTAGTAGAAGTATAGTAGTAGTCGTCATCGTCGTCGTCGTCGCCGTCGTCGTCGGAGTCGTCGTCGTCGTGGTAGTAGTAGTGGTAGTGGTGGTGATGGTGGTGGTGGTGGTAGTGGTAGTGGAAGTAGTAGTCGTAGTCGTAGTCGTAGTAGTCGTAGTGGTAGTAGTAGTAGCAGTAGTGGTAGCGGTAGTAGTATTTGTAGCAATTAGTGGTAGTCGTAGTAGCAGTAGTCGTCGTCGTCCTCGTCTTGGTGGTGATAGTGGCTGTGGTGGCAATAAGGGTAGTGGTAGTAGTAAAAATCTGCGCTTCAAGGTTCAGGAAGCGCTGCGCCCACCATGAGATTCGCATCAAGATTCACATACTATGTTTCGCAGAAAAAGCACTTCCAAACACAACATCAAGATGTCAGGCCACAGCTTTTGCTCGAATGCTCGACACTTCCCGCTCCCCCCAGTTTCTCAAAACAAACCACATGTCCCAAGTTCATGATTCCATGCTTTTGCCTACTTAATTACAGCGCGCCAAAGACCACCACCATGTCCGAAACATAGACGTAAAATTGCTCTCCTGCGCCTGCCACGAACAGTGACCACCAAGTCCAAAAACACGCACGGGACCACAACGAGAGCACAGTGGAGGCAAGCACCCGTGACAGTCAGAAAGTTTTGTGGAGGGTGCGCACTCAAAATGTGCTTGAGGCATGAACGCGCCATAAATAGCAGTGAATTAGTCACTGACGCCTTTGAGCACCTCGGTCAAAACCTCCTTATAACCTTCACCGTAAGACCTCCCAGTGTGACCACACTGTTTGGGGTCAAATCAAACCACAAACTAACCAACAAAAGTACTGCCTGATGCAGGATGAACTGCAACTGGCTAGCCCCATGATGACAGAAGGCAAACATCGTGACATTGCATTAAGACACGTCACAAGTTAAAATTGCGCCTCGACTTCCATGGCTAATATCTTCAAAGTTTTGGGACCCTTCTCAACTCACAGCCTTCAGGGTACGTCAACCTATGCACCGGTCACACGGCTTGGGGCTTTGAAGATTCTTTCGATTCCATCCGAAGGCAAAGCTTGCGCTTGCTCGATTAATTTTTAAGGTTTGGACCCCAAACATTATAGAACTCAACTGCGAGCCTTGTGCCTAGACTTGTCCAGCTTCCCTACCTGTTTTGGAGGCCGGGCTCCATCCCTGTGCCTGGTCTGCGCCGGCGTCCAACAAGAGAAGAGCCACTTCCACGTGGCCATTCATGGCTGCCGCCGTTAAAGCGGTCCCACCTTGGCCGGGCTGCAGCCGTTGCGTGCAAAGCTCTGAAGGTGCAACATGGAAAAACACAAATTGAAACCAAAATCTTTCGCAACAAGTTGCGCGTTTCACAAAAAGCGGAAAACACTGGATATTAAGCGCCGGGCCACCGCTGTCTTTTAAATCCTGGGGCGAGGTTGGTGACTTTCTAAACTGTCGATTCTCTAGACTCTTGCCGGATTGACTTCAGAATCGTGCTTCTCACGCCGGGAATCTTTCCGTATATTCTGTTTTCTGGCGCTCAAGCAACCTTGGGTCAAAAAAGCCAAAGAACCAAGTATGTAACCGCTTGCCAGCTACCCGGGGTACAGGGTTTTGAGGCAACAACGACACCTGGTGCCGTAAACTGTTTTCCAAAGTGCACACAAACGGTCTCTTTCCATGCACAGTTCTATTTCAACTTGCAAGTGTTGACCGACACAAATTAATTACAAGTTTCCTCAAACCTAGAAAACATCACAACGACTGCGCTTCCATCGTCTACCAGCACCTGTTTACAGAGGAAAGCCTGAAGAAAGAGGACGGGTACAATGTATTACACTATGCAAGAATGACATATTATTTTGTGGGAACTTGGCAACTTAAAACTTTTTTGCAGCAAACAAGAAGCGGGCGACGATAATTTAAAACATCTGCACTCCGATGCCCTGCGCCTGAGTATTACGCCGGCCACCACGAACAACCTACGACTTCATATCCTAGATGCTGCGCCAGCCCACCAAAGACTTTACAGCAAGGATGAACACTTAAACTCCCAAGTTAGGTGAAACCTCCAAAAACCACATTACTTTAGATTTCCAACAGGTGGACTTGGGGCTTGGAACAGCTTGAAGCAATGACAATGTCTGACTGACAAGCGCACGTGCGCACCTTGGCTTGAAACCAACTCTAGACACCACGAGAGCAGGGTTGTTGAATAGAAAGAGAGCTTTGTCGTACAAGGAGATTCTTCGGGCAGAGCTTCTTCGTCAGAGCTGGACAAAAGAATTGGGACCAATCATTGATTGGATCTTTCAAGTTTATAAACTATAGTTCTGTTGGCAAATCAAGCAGCCATAATAGCAAACACGCTTGCTCACTGACTCATGGACATGTTCATAGCTTGGAGCGATTGTGAGGACCAGTTGGCGAGTGCGGAGAAGGCAAAGAATGGCAAGCAGGTGAAGACCAATGAGAAGGACGATGTGAAGACCGAGGAGGGCGGTGACACTGAGGGTGATGAGCCAGAGAGGGAGAGGTGATGGAGGAAAATGAAGAAATGGCTGATTCTCCAGCCCCTGCTTCCACAGTTCCGCGCCCTGAGTTCCCTTGTCCGACTCTCTTCTTCCAACCGTTCTTGCTGTTACCTAAAATATTTTTGCGGCCCTTGTTTGCCGATGAGGGGATCTGTAGGAACATAGGACTTGATCGGCGTCAAGGATGAAAAGAGGTGGACAGTGAAGCTTGCTGTGTTGGGCTGGGAGGTTTGCTGGCAGGCTGCTGTTTCATAGCTCACACAAACACCACAAACCTTGATACAGTACAGTACCTGGTGACATTGTGGTACCCTGTTAGATGGCAAATGTTTTCTGTCAACAAGTAACAGCTAGGTGCTGAATGAGCTCCAGCTCGCTTCCAACATGATGGAAAGAGGCGAACATCACCAAACATCCTCTTGTTGCAGTAGAACATTGCAGCCTCACATGGTACAGTTGGAGTTTTATGGCGCCAGTCTTCAAGTTCAGGCGCCTTACTCGACACATAGTCTTGTGCTATGTCAACCTATGCCCGTCACACAGCTTCTGACTGAGTGTCAACCTATAAATCGAGTTTCCTTTCGCTGAAACGAACATTCATCCGAATGCATATTCTGCACTTCTTGTTTCAGCTCTTATACATTTGGAATCATTTGGATCGCAAACAGTTGGGAACTGCAAAATGAACTCGACGTCTTGCGCCTACACTTGTCCAGTTTCCTGGCTCCTTTCTGAAGCCCTGGCTCCCATCATTCCCTGTGCCTTCTCGGCACCGGCGTCCAACAAGAGCCGCGCTGCTTCCACGCGGCCACCAGAGGCTGCCCACATCAAACTGGTCACACCTCGGACCCGGCCGGCGTGTGAGGTGCGCAGGTCCCCAAACAGTTTCAGCGAGATTCTTTCGCAGTTCTGTGAATGGACAAAAATCTGGTGGACACTTCTATACTATTCTATACTTGTATTCCTGCGTGTAAGCAATTTCAGACATGCAGACCTGACAGGCCTCGACAAGGCCCGGACATGACAAGGCGAGGTCAAGAGAGGACGACAGGGCCCACAGGGTGGTGAAAAAGGGGTATCGTGGACAGCCCTTTCTCTTGAGAGAAAACCCCAACAATAAACAGTTTGGTGAAACAGAACTGGAGAGGAACATCTTCCGCAACAACTGAAACACTTCACCGACCACGGAGAAACGCTGGACATGATCTCAGTGGTGATCTGAGCACCAGGCCATTCTTGTCTTGGCAATCCTGTCGCGAGGTTGGTGACTTTTTTTTGCGGCATCAGGCTGGTGATGTTCTTTCTAAACTCTGGTGTGGACTGTCAGTCGAGCTTCTGCGACTTATGTACAGGTTTGCGTGGACAGCCTAAAATAAGCAGCTAGCTAGCTACAAGCAGTGCCAGCACAGTGTGGTAAATATATATACAACCGCAAACTATCCAACAAAAAGCACTGCTTCGTGCAGGAAGGACCCCAACTGGATAGATAGCAACATGATGAAAGAAGGCAAACGTCAAACATCCCAACGTTGTGCTAAGACCTTAGAGCGAATGATGCACGCCTTCAATCTTCCAAGGTTTGGCGCCTTACTCAACGCATAGTCCTTATATATGCGGTGTGAACCTATGGACCGGTCACGTTACATAGCTTCTGACTTAGGTGATCCCGAAAGCCTTTACACGCTGTTTTATTTTGCACAGAATGCATATATAATTTCCGTCTTGCGTCCAAACCTGCGCTTGTCCAGTTTACTTGCTGCCATGTGCGCGCTCTCGTTGGAGGCTTGGCTCCATCCATCCCTGCGCCTTGTCGGCGCCGGCATCCAACAAGAGCTGCGCCACTGCCACGTGGCCATTGCCGGCTGCACACAGCAAAGCGGTGAGACCTCGGCTTGGGCTGGGGCCGCTTAGCACAGATCTCTATAGCTGCACCGTAGAAAAATGGACACTAAACTTCTTCGGCAACAACTGAGACATTCCACACATCACGAGAAGTCACTGGACATGATCTCATCAGTGATCCGAGCGCCTGGCCAATTGTGTCTTTCATTTCCTGTGGCGAGTTTGGTGAACTTCCTTCCGGCAGTGAGGTTGGCGATGTTCTTCCCAATTTGTGTGGTCCCTATAGGCGTAAATTTGACTAAAATTGCGTTTCTCAATCGGAGTTTCTGCGATTTTTGTACATGTTGTACTTGGGTTGTACAGGTTTGCGTGGACAGCAATAAGTAGGCTAGCCACACGAGCTCCACGACTTTGTAGTCAAAAACCGGACGGTGGGGGTGGGGCGGAAGTTAGTAGGAGACCACGCGGGGTAACGCAAGATCTTTTTTGATTTGGACACATGTGCGTTTGTTATCCGCAATTTGCCAAACTATGGAGATTGTGGCGCGTAAGTGGTCATATCATGTCTGGAGCCACATCGACGCCATATAAAGCGTCACATTAGGAGCAAAACATGCAAACAAGGTAGCAAATGGCGATAGAAACCGTGATGATCACAATGGCGAACAGCGACTCTGCCCGAGATAAAGCAGCTTTCTTCCTACTACGACCTGCAGGCCGCGCTGAGTGCCACAAACAAAGATGCAATCGCATGACACCAACCGCTGTTGACACCCCCAATCATCCCCTTCACTAGCGAGCCACGTGTGCACACGCATGTTTCCCTTCTCCCACTTGCACAGAGCCAGGCCAACGCAACACACTTTACAGCCATCTGCGCAGCGCAGCAACTTCACGGCCGAATTTTCATCCCACCGTGTGCCACAAACAGACGCAATCACGGAAATAGCAAGCCCCATTGACACCACCAATCATCCTGCTCACCAGCGCGCACCGCGTTAAGCATGCATGTTTCCCTTCCCCCAATATGGGCCGGGGCCTTGCCAATACTTTTAAAGATTGAACATAGTATTAGCATATTGTTAAGCGAAACCTTTCTTGTTTATGAGACAATGTTGAAATACTTCTAATTGTCAACAGCTTTATAGTACTCAACAATATTAACTAAATATGTCTAAAGACCCTTAGAAGAATTAACATATTTTTTAAACATGCTATGTGGTTGATCTTTCATCATTAATTACTTGTAAAACATACAAAAACACGTTATTCTCTGGAAATCAAAGCATGTTGTAAAATGCCTGTGATTTGTTTAACAATTTAGCGATTGAGTTTGCAAATCGCTTCGCGACAAAAATTGTCTAGAAGATCCGTCACCTTGTGTGGCATTTCGACATTAGCCTGTGTTGCTCGTGCAAGTTATAGATATTATAGCCTTTGTGGTTCGTGCGCGACATATAATGTGCCCGCACCGGATACCACTTCTGAGCCCGACCTCTACATGCTACTTCTCGTGCCAGTTTTGAGCCCAGAGCTCACAAAAGCTGCTGCCTAGTGCGAAAATTGTCAGCTCTGACCCCAGACCTTCCAGAAGCTATTTCCCCCAGCATCCACCTTGGTTTTCGACGCCAGTTGCAGACATCCGAAACTTCCACATTCTTTTTGGAAGACAGTTACAGTAAACATTTTGGCAACTTGACACGCGCGACCGTCACACATTTGGGCAACTTCCACCTTGATTTGTGACGACAGTTTGGCAACTTGCATTTTGATTTTCGATGAGTGACACACTTTGGCAACTCGATGGGCATGACTTCCACCTTGACTCTCGACACGCTTCGGCAACTCCCACCTTCTCGAAAGTGATACACTTTGACAACTTCGACTTAACTGTGCGACCACAGCTACACATTTTGCGCGATCTCTGCAAAGGGTTCAGATTCACCAGGCAAAAACTGCACGGCACCCTGCATATTCCTACAGTTTTGCACGTCCGACGCGCACGACCTCCGCAAAGGGTCGTGACAGGACCAAGACGATTTGCATATTACTATATATTACTGTAAATTTGCGCGTCTGACACGCGCGATCTCTGCAGGGGGTTGCCGGACCAGCAAAACCTGTATCTAAACACCTGTATCTATCTGTATCCAAAGCATCGATGACCTGTATCGGTGACAACGATGATGCAGATGCTGATGCTGGTGATGATGATGATGATCATCATGATGATGATGATGACGAGGACGAGGACGAGGACGACGAGGACGACGAGGACGACGACGAGGACGACGTCGACGACGACGACGACGACGACGACACATTCTTTGACAACCCTTCGCACGTGCTTTTGGGAAATACAGCTGCAAAACCAGCCACAAACCATCCAACAACACAGCTTGATGCAGAATGAACTCAATCTGGCTACCAACATGATGAAAAACGGCAAACACCGGCGATCATCCTAAAGGTGCACCGAGACCATTAGAGTGTCAAATGTCTTGTCTGGACTTTCATGGCTTCCATCTGGACAGGTTTGGTGCCATATCCAACTCATAGCGTTGGTGCTATACCAACCAAAGCCCAGCCTCACATCGACTGAGTGGATCCCTAAAGCCTCTAAATGCTGTTTTGGTTCGCGACAACAAACCTGTTGTTTCCATTCAAACGCATAGTTTGCGCTTGTTCAGAAAAATAACACAATTGGAACTGTAAAACCAACCCTGATTCTCGTGCCTCCCCTTGTCAAGTATATTTGCTGCTTTTTGTTGGCTTGGCTCCATCCATCCCTGCGCCTTGTTGGCGCCGGCGTCCAACAAGAGCTGCACCATTTCCACGTGGCCATTGTCAGCTGCCCCCATCAAAGCGGTATAACCTCGGCCAAGTTGGGGCCGTTGAGCGTAGATCTCTATAGCTGCAACGAAGAAAAAGTGGAAATGGAAAGGAACATCTTTGACCACGAGTGACGTACTTCACGCATCACGGAAAACGGTGGACATGATCTCAACATCGATGTGAGCACCCTGACCAGTTTCTTCTTGCAATTCCTGCGGCAGGGCTAGTGATTTTCCTTCCGGCCTCCATGCTAGTGATGTTCTTTCTACACCGTGTGGCCTCTATACATAGACTGACTGCCTTAAAATTGCCATTCTCAATCGGGTTCTGCGACTTTTGTAATGTATACTTTTGTACGTGTTGTGTTTGGGTTCTACAGGTTTGCGGTGGACAGCCGCTCCAGGACTTTGTAAAGAAATACAACCTCAAACCTTCCAACAAAAGTACTGCTTGGCTACCAGATGCTACCAGCATGATACCATGGGCAAACAACATGATGTCGCACTAAGACAAATTAAAGCGCCAAAACTACGCCTGGACTTTCATGGCTGACTCCTTGAAAGGTTTGGCACCATACTCACCTCATGTCATAGTCTTATGTTTTGTCAACCCATGCCCAGGTCACGCAGCTTCTGACCTAGTGAATCCATGCCGACAAACCTTTCGCTTCTCCGAATGCACAGGCACCGCTTGCTCACGTGTTTCCGAGCCTTGTGTCTACACTGGTCCCATGCGCACGCTCTTTTTGGAGGCTTGGCTCCATCCATCCCTGCGCCTTGTTGGCGCCGGCGTCCAACAAGAGACGTGCCACTTCCACGTCGCCGTTCCCAGCTGCCCGCAGCAAAGGGGTCCAACCTCGACTAAGTTGCGGCTGTTGAGTGTAGATCTCAAAAGCTGCAACATGGAAAAAATACATTGAAAAGGAAAATCTTTCGCAAACACTGTCTCTCAACTGATCTGAGCCCATTGACCAAACTTGGTTTGTAAGTCCTGTGGCGAGGTTGGTCACTTTATCTCGTCATCGAGGTTGGAGATGGTCATTTTAAACTTGGCAAACTCCAGGCTTAGGTTTGACCACCAACATCGGCAAACATATCGCTCTAAGGCATATAAAAGCGGTCAAAGTTACGTCTGGACTTTGGTGGCCAATTGTCAATGGTTTGGCGTCATTCTCACCTCAAAGTCTGTATGCCATGTCAACCTATGCCCGGGTCACCAAGCTACTGACTTTGTAGCCCCCTAGAATTGCTGGTCTTTTCGCGCCAACAAACATTTCGCTTCTCCGAAGCAAAATGCTTGTGCATATTTGCGCGTTTCTGACAGGTTTAGATCTCAAACACTTTTGAAACTTGAAAACTAACCCCGACTATTGTGTCTACACTGGTCCCATGCGCACGCTCTTTTTGGAGGCTTGGCTCCATCCATCCCTGCGCCTTGTCGGCGCCGGCATCCAACAAGAGCTGCACTATTTCCACGTGGCCATTGCCAGCTGCCCACAGCAAAGCGGTATAACCTCGGCTAAGTTGCGGCTGTTGAGCGTAGATCTCTATAGCTGCAACATGAAAAACTTCAAAGGATACTGTGATACTGTAGTCTTCCGCAAACGCGGTCTCTCAATTGATCTGAGCGCAGTGACCGCTTTGGCTTTGTAAGTCCTGTTGCAAGGGTGATCACTTTCTCTCCGCATTGAGGTTGGAGATGTGTAAGTTTGACCATCTCATTCGGGGATTCCTAAAACTGATATTATATTATATATATACATTTTTTGTTTTTGGGTTCTGCTGGTTCTTGTGCAATCTGAAGTAAGCTAGCTACAAGCTTTGTGGTCAAAAATCAAACAATTATCCAACCAAATCTCTGCTAGATGGCTACCAACATGATGAAAGAAGGCAAACATCGACAAACATCCTAAAGGTGCACGGAGACCATTAGAGTGTCAAATGTCTTGTCTGGACTTTCATGGCTTCCATCTGGACAGGTTTGGTGCCATATCCAACTCATAGCGTTGGTGCTATACCAACCAAAGCCCAGCCTCACATCGACTGAGTGGATCCCTAAAGCCTCTAAATGCTGTTTTGGTTCGCGACAACAAACCTGTTGTTTCCATTCAAACGCATAGTTTGCGCTTGTTCAGAAAAATAACACAATTGGAACTGTAAAACCAACCCTGATTCTCGTGCCTCCCCTTGTCAAGTATATTTGCTGCTTTTGGAGGCTTGGCTCCATCCATCCCTGCGCCTTGTTGGCGCCGGCATCCAACAAGAGCTGCACCATTTCCACGCGGCCTTCGCCAGCTGCCCGCATTAAAGCGGTCCAACCTCAGCCAAGTTGCGGCTGTTGAGCGTAGATCTCTATAGCTGCAACATGAAAAACTTCAAAGGATACTGTGATACTGTAGTCTTCCGCAAACGCGGTCTCTCAATTGATCTGAGCGCAGTGACCGCTTTGGCTTTGTAAGTCCTGTTGCAAGGTTGATCACTTTCTCTCCGCATTGAGGTTGGAGATGTGTAAGTTTGACCATCTCATTCGGGGATTCCTAAAACTGATATTGTATTATATATATATATACATTTTTTGTTTTTGGGTTCTGCTGGTTCTTGTGCAATCTGAAGTAAGCTAGCTACAAGCTTTGTGGTCAAAAATCAAACAACTATCCAACCAAATCTCTGCTAGATGGCTACCAACATGATGAAAGAAGGCAAACATCGACAAACATCCTAAAGGTGCACCGAGACCATTAGAGTGTCAAATGTCTTGTCTGGACTTTCATGGCTTCCATCTGGACAGGTTTAGTGCCATATCCAACTCATAGCGTTGGTGCTATACCAACCAAAGCCCAGCCTCACATCGACCGAGTGGATCCCTCAACCTCCTGTTTCGCACCACGCAAACATACATGAGAATGCAACGCCTGCGCTCTTACACTTTGCATCCCAAATTACTTCGGAAAATCAATCTTGAACACCTTTATCTGGAGAGCTGGGGACTGTGCTTGTGTACTTTTTCTTGATGCTTGTTTTCCAACTCTTTTACATGAAAGAATAAACTTGTTCGTTGAACAATTGATTGGCAACAAATCCTGTTACGATCGTTCTTTTTTTTACACAAACCAATATATTGATGGTAGTTTCCACATAAATATCATAAATAAATTCTTTTTGGAATTCTTTTGAATACAAAGTGCATGCATTAGATTGTATTGGACTTCTTGTCCGAGCAAACACCCTTAAGTCATTGAGAACTAGACCCAGATATTGATGTGACATATGTACTTACAAACAACTGAATTGTTTATTTAATGCTTCTAACTGATCTTATTCAAATCCCTGGCGAGAATACAACAAACCTTGCACCCGTTGTCCAATTGAAGTTCTTTCTAGAATCAATTGGTTCATCGATGGCAAACTTCTTTTCAAATCGAACTTCAACATATGGGCTTATCTGCTCAACATCAATGATCATTACGTTGCATATTGTTTCCAGTAAGTGAGGCGGCAGCCTTAAGGACATGCAGTGAGTTGACTTTTATCCTGGTAGATTGTAATTTTGTTAAACGGGTAAATAACAATTTGAAACAATTCTAAGTACATGAAATTCTAAACTAAAAGCGAAGCACCCGAATTCTTTACATATACCAAAACAAGGCTAGATATGCTTAGTTTAAGCTTTCGGTACTCGACCCCCCGCTACTACCCGCTCTCAAAGGGGTACCCAGCACCCATAGTGTACAAAGCGTCAGTACGGTTAATTTGCCAATAAAAAATACGTCGAGATTATAATTTGCTTTCAATCAAGACCCATCTATGTGAATTTCTACTTAAACCTTTCCCAAAGGGAGTGGCAGAGAAAACTATGCAGGAAAAACAAGACTGTGAGCCAGGCAGAAAATATGAGGAGATGTACAAAAAAGTAAAAACACCAACTATTGACCCAATAGCCTTTGCTGCATAAACATCCATGGATTTTACATTTTTTTGCTCATGCCAATTCATTTTGTTGGGCGAGGACGTGGTACTGGCAGTGCAAGCTATGCAGGAAAACACGACTGTGAGCCAGGCAGAGGAGATGAAGAGATCTACTAAAACAAACAAAAACTCTATGGCGCCCCAAAATCCAAAACTATTGGCCCAATAGTTTCTGCTGCACCACCATCCATTGGTTTGTTTTTGTCTTTTGGTGCATTTTCAGATATGATGATTGTGGTTCATGGCAGCAGTGCAGTGCAAAGAATGTCACAAAAATGCACGCTACTGTTGTCCCCTGTTCTGTTTACAAAACACTGGCCGGAAAAAATGATGTCGGACATGCCAAAAATTGACGAACTACAGCTCTCATTCTTTTGAACGTAACATGCCTCCTTCACTTGTCACTAAAATTCCCCCAAGGCCATGTGGGTAGAATCACAACCACTCGTACCGCTCACCAGCCATGTTCCGCTCACCAGCCACGCGCCGCATTTACACACGTGCGCTCCGGTCCCCAATGGCAGGGAGCCACGCGAAATGTGCTTTCTACCGAGGCCTCACCAAAGTGCATGGCATAGCTATTGCAATCTTCGAAATTCTTAGCCTGATGGAAACAGTACAAGCAAAGAATATTGAAGAATCTTTGTTAAACGGCATCGGCGCCCTTTTCAATTTTGATACGATTGAGTCGAGGTTGTAAGGGTTTACAAAACATTGCCCTTTTCGGTTTTGAGGCTCTTCCCAGATTCCCATCTTTGGGGAACACCTATTTTAGAGTTATTTTGTATTTAGAGAATCATGTTTTCAAATTGGAAGGGATTATGCTTTTCAAGTGCCGTCTTCCGGCCACGCCACTACAAACCTGCCGAGGTATTCTGTCTGCCTCTCGGTCAGATCTTTCCTTAGAAGAGCAGGTGGCAATTCCCGCCCTACCGCTCTTCCCTGCGGCTCCATCCATCCCTGCGCCTTGTCAGCGCCGGCGTTCAACAAGAGCTGCACCATTGCCACGTGGCGAATTTCAGCTGCATATGATAAAGCCGTGAAACCTTGGTCGCACTGTGCATAGTTGTTACTTTAGCGCAGCTTTTTGGCCAAAATCAATTTGTTGAAAGGACACGTGCTTGGAGCGACCCCCCAAGTCCCTGTTAATTGGTCGGTGGTGCTATTGCTACGAAGCAACCTGACAAGGCCACCAAGCTGATATTTTCAACCTGAACCCTTGGATTGGAAGGTTGTGTGGACGCCGCATCTGAGCTCGGTGCCATCTCTGTCTTGGCAATCCTAACAAATGGGTCCCAATTGCCAAATGAAAGCCCCAGACTTGGAAGATAATGTTGGATCACGATTAGTAAAGGGGACTTCTATAATGCTAAAATTTTCCAAAATTATTCAGACCCCCCTGTTTGAAAAATGGTACCTCTATAATGCTAATTTTTTTTTGGCCCTAAATTTTTAAATTGGAAACCCAATTAATGAGGGTTTGAATTCCTTCTGAACCCTGTCCACCTGCACTCCCCCCCCCTTCCTTCTGAACCCAATTAAACCCTTTATAAAACATTGCTCCTAAACAAATTTTCAAG